CAGTAGCTATACAATCACCTCTTAGAAGCACCAGTGATGGCAAGAAACGAAGGAAAGAAATTGAGGGAGCACTGAAGGGACAAAGCAATAAAAATGGTCAAGGTTCCTGGTAAAGAACTAGGAAGAAGGATGAGAACAGTGGGAAAAAAAGTTTATGAATGTCTTCTTCATTACCCTTCTTTGTTGTTTCTCCATATGTGTAATATGCAAACAGATTTCTACTTTGTTTTACGGGCCCAAGAAAGAAGTAGCTGGTTTCTCATCCTACTACACATAGGCTGCATACTGAGATATTTAGAAATTATAATTCAGCAAAATTTTCTAAACAGTTGAGCACAATCACAGTCCCTATACAGATAAATTGCATTTGTTAATTATCTGGAGAATGAAAAATAAAAGCAATTTCTACTGAGATAAAATTGATGTTTGGATGTTAAATTTATGTGCGTGGTCATTATAGACAGTGATATGAGTAGCTCAATAATTTTCAACTCTCCATCAATCTGCCTGCATAGACACAAACTCTAAGCAATGTGGCTTTATTAAAGGATTTAGGAGAAGCCTTATGAAAAAGAAATATTAACAAAACATTTAGATAAATGGTGATACAGAATTGTAATAGCCCCTTAAAAATCAGTATACCTGATTATCATGGTTGTGAATAAATGAGTGACATGATTGTCCTCAAATGGCTTTTCTAGAAGTACATTTTACAACAGAGACACAATTCCAGTTATCTTATTTATTAAAACCATTTAAATAATGGGATATTTTGGATAATGTAATAGTTGACAAAGTAATTGTCATTATAAACACATACATATACACATACATGCACATATATATACATGTATAACATATCTCTTACTCTGTGTGTATTTAAAACATGATAATAAAACAAAATGGACTTAATAACACAATTATCACGATTATCTTGAAATTGATTTCTCTGGGTGACGTGAGAAATATTTCAAAATCTTTCTGACCCTCTGGATCATCTTAATGCACACCAATTATTTCTGAAACGTTCCAAGAAGTAGTATGCCTGGGAAATTGAATTGGCTTTCTACTGCTCAGAGTTGCTTTTTTTAATCATCACAGACACCAGTTCCTTATTTGTCATTTACCTCTTTTTAATAACAAGAACGAAATACTTTTATTTGAGTTTTCTAATTTTTAGATTTTACATAAGTGGTAGAAAATTCCACCACTAATATATGAAATTTCTTTTAACACAGAAGTGATGACGGAACTTCAGAATTACTTAAAAATGAAAGCCTACATATTTATAAAGTGATATGAGATAAAGCAATGTTTCCATAGCAATCGAAAAATATCAGGATTACACTGAAAAAGTGTCTCCA